TTATGTATTTAAGGTTGGGATGTAAGTAATGTTTAATTGAAAGAAACTGCATTAATATAAACCAGGAATAAGGCATGTGGCATCAGTCCTAAAGATACAAGGAAGTAAACCCCATTGAATTCAATAGGCCTTTCTTCAAAATAAGTGCTTTGAGGATATGGCTAGTTAAAGTGAAAGGCACCAAGCCTGACCAGCAATAGGGGAGTGATTTCTCTGATTTCCCCTAGCCCATGTGGCTGTTTATCCACATGGATTCAGGCACCATCTTTCCAGGCTCAAAAGGGACTGCTGAGGATTTGCAGGAAAAATCCACTCATTACACTGATACCCCTAAACATTCTCATTCTCTCTCTCTCACACACACACACACACAAAGCCCAGAGTATTGGCACTTTCTGGGTCTCCCACTGACTGTGCTGTGCACTCCATCAGCCATTGGCCTGGCAACCGCGTCTCAAGAGTACTCGTGTGCCATTGGCTGCGTACTTGGTTTGCTCCTCTCCCCTGCCCACTGCCAGCCTGGACACTCTTCCCTGACAGAATAAACTGCCAAAATGGCTGTCTCTCCTGACAAAGACACTTCTGCTTTGGCTTGGCTCCTCTGTGACAGGCTGGCTACTGAGGTGGGCCACTGTCTTCTCCTCCTGCTGTGGGGCTAACTTTTCCCTCAGTGGCTGTTGCTAGCCAGCCGAGCTTGGTTCTGTTGGTAAAAAGGCAGAGGGGAGGCCCTTTCCAGGCCTACTTTGGCCCTGGTAGGGAACTCATTGGGGCCAATTCTGACTAGGGTTGCCAGCTCCAGGGTGGGAAGTTCCTGGAGATTTTGTGGTGGAGTCTACAGAAGCCAGAGTTTGGGGAGGGGAGAGGCCTCAGCTGAATAGAATGCTATAGAGTCCACCCTCCAAGCTAGTTATTTTCTTCTGGGGAATGATTGCTGCCAATCTCCAGGTGAGGGCTGGAGATAACTCAGAACTAAAACTTTATCTCCAGATGGCAGAGATCAGCTCCCCCTTATAAAACAGCTGCTTTGCAGGGTGGACTGTGTCATTATACCCCGCTGAGGTCACTTCCTTCTTGCTTGGGTCCCCACTGTGGAAAAAGACTACTTTTCCTAGGTAGAGGCTGCAGGGGAGGGGGAGATGGAAAGCTGAAGTCAGAGGGGCAGATAATGGTAAGTTGATGATTGGCTGGGAAGGAAATAGGGTTGCCACCTCCAGGTTGGGACATTTCTGGAGACATGAGGGGTGGAGCCTGGAGAGCATGGGGCTTGAGGAGGGATGGGACCTCAGATGGGTACAAAGCCGTAGACTCCACCCTCCAAACCAGCCATTTCCTTCTGGGGAACCATTGTTGCCAATCTCCAGGGGAGGGCTAGAGATCACTCAGAATTACAACTGCTCTTCAGATGACAGAGATCAGTTTCCCTGGAGTAAATGGTAAGCTCTGTGTCATTATACCCTGCTGAGGTCACCACAGCAAATTAACACTGAGTGTCCAAGGCCAGGGCACCTTTCCAGAGCCTCTTTCTAGAGTTCGTTGTATTTATTTCTACAATGGGCCTTATTCCTAGTATCTATGTGTGTGATATTATACACACACATACAACTCTGCACATGTTCAGAAGTATTGTCCAGAATATTTGCAAGTGTAGATTTCCACCTGGCAAGAATTCTACATGCTCCATTAATAGTGAAGGCATTTTTTTTTTAAAAAGAGTTCACATCATGTCCATTGACAATAGCAAAGGTCCCCCATCTGATACCTGTGGGTACCATGGTACCCACTGACACCCTTCCTGGTGCCCACCAAGTGTTTGTAGAAAGTGGGCAAGGCCAGATGCATTTTTTGCCAACTAAAGATCCTGATTGGCCACTGGAAATTTGTTTGATTGTGCAGATTTTTTAAAATATTGCTTCAGCAGCAGCTGCTAGCTCAGCAGAAAGACCTTCATTGTGTGACTAAAGGTAAGTTGTGGCAGCCATTTTGTGGTCACACTGTGTCAGACTTCCAAAGGTGCCCACAGGCTGAAAACGTTGGGGACCTCTGGATTACAGGGTGAGTTTAGCTCACAAGTGAAATTAAAATTGTGCAGATCAGTGAATTTAATGCAGGCTTAGTCATGATTCTTACTTCTCCAATCCCTATGTCTCATGTGAGTAAGTCTCCTTTTAAAAGCTCCACATGAACATTCATGTGTTATTTATGCATTAACACAGTACTAGTGTCATGATCTGTGCAGGACTGGGAGCAAGGCCTAGTGCAGCCTGGTCCCAGGAGAGACCTGCATGGCAGCGGAAAGCAGACATAGTTTACAATCCCCACCAGAGGTCGATTCGGGGGGGATCACGGGGGATCGCAGTTCCCCCGGGTGAGGTGCAGGGGGCGG